GGAAGGTTTTTAACATACGAATCAAAGGTGAACGACTAGTCGCTACATTCACCAATTGCAAAATAAAAAGTCAATGACTAATCACTAACCTTTGATCAGTATGTTAAAAACTTCAGGGTTTAAGCACTTAAGAATTTCTTATATGTATCCAATATTAATATTGGAGTCTAACCCCTCTGATTCCTTTTGTTTCAGCTTCTATGTAGATGACATTCCCATTAGAGAATTCGAGAACATGGAGTCTTATGGCATTCCCTTCCCTAAGCACCAGCCAATGAGAATTTACTCAACCCTTTGGAATGCCGATGACTGGGCGACAAGAGGAGGACTTGTGAAGACAGATTGGAGCCAGGCACCCTTCACTGCTTCCTATACAAATTTCAATGACGACAATGCTTGTATTTGGACTTATGGACAATATTCTTCTTGCGATTCAAATAATGATAATGTTAATATTCCATTTTCAAATTGGCATGCTAAGGGCTCCTGGTACTGGGAAAAGCTTGGGTTTGCAGGGACAGGAAAGATTAAATGGGTGCAGAAAAACTACATGATATACAATTATTGCACAGATTATAAACGATTTCCCTACGGTCTCCCTAAGGAATGCAATATCAAGAAGGACTTGTTCTAAGGGAGATGATCGTCTGTTATACTTGATTTTGTCTCGTTTGTTTATTTGTTGACATTCAATTTTTCAGTTCTTTCCTCTATCTGCGATATCTTCAATAAAGTTGTAATGGGGCCGGGAAAGATCCTTTTTATGTTAAATGATTTTTGCGACGTGTTTGGTATAATAATATGAAAAATGCACGTCTAAATTTTAGTGTTCTTCAGCTTANCCCTTCCCTAAGCACCAGCCAATGAGAATTTACTCAACCCTTTGGAATGCCGATGACTGGGCGACAAGAGGAGGACTTGTGAAGACAGATTGGAGCCAGGCACCCTTCACTGCTTCCTAAACAAATTTCAATGACGACAATGCTTGTATTTGGACTTATGGACAATATTCTTCTTGCGATTCAAATAATGATAATGTTAATATTCCATTTTCAAATTGGCATGCTAAGGGCTCCTGGTACTGGGAAAAGCTTGGGTTTGCAGGGACAGGAAAGATTAAATGGGTGCAGAAAAACTACATGATATACAATTATTGCACAGATTATAAACGATTTCCCTACGGTCTCCCTAAGGAATGCAATATCAAGAAGGACTTGTTCTAAGGGAGATGATCGTCTGTTATACTTGATTTTGTCTCGTTTGTTTATTTGTTGACATTCAATTTTTCAGTTCTTTCCGCCATCTGCGATATCTTCAATAAAGTTGTAATGGGGCCGGGAAAGATCCTTTTTATGTTAAATGATTTTTGCGACGTGTTTGGTATAATAATATGAAAAATGCACGTCTAAATTTTAGTGTTCTTCAGCTTATATTTTAAATATTGAAGTCTTTGTTCTTTTGAAGAAAAAGGAAGATTTAATAGAGTTCCATTGATTGCCTATTGTGATCAGGCTCAGGTAATGCAGTTTTGCTAGCATAGGCTGACCCAAATCTAGCCTTAGCAGTGCGACTGCGCCGAAGCAAGTGCAAGCTAGATCTGGCCTTGCATCGGTAAACCTTGGCTGCGTGGCTTCTCTCTCTGTGCCGTTATTTGTCGGGATGACTTGGTTGTTTTTGTTAGAGTTCGTGAACTCTCTTCAAACGTGAGATACCTATTTAGTGTTGCGGAAGATTTTACTAAGTTAATTAATGGTTATCAAGTTAAGCATGAATCAACAACCACAAACGGTAAAGATAAAGCACACAAGCATATATATGGTTCGGCTAAAATCACTCTTAGCCTACATCCATGGGACCTTGTCCAGATCGAAACTAATCTACTATAACAACAAATATTACAAGATATCTCTCAGAGTTGATTTTAGTTATAGCAAAGAGAACTCTCTATTCTACGTTACACTAAACACCACCATTTGAATCTCACCACCATTTGAATCTCTAATGCTTTGTCGCTTATAGGATCACTCCACACCAGGAACACTCTCGGACAACGCTTGAGCTCCACCCAAGCTTCACTTGCCGAAGAACACCTCCAGCTTCCATGGCTTGAACTCCTTTCAAGCTCTTAGCATATGAACCAAGTTCCAGCAGCAACAAACAATAAACAAAGATGAACAAAATGATTTAAACATTAAACCATACATGAAACCTATCAAGGAATAAACTCTCTGAAAATTTCAGAGCACAAACAAAAATAATATGCAGGTTCAAAAGAAAACAAATAAGGAAGAGGATGAACTTCCTTTTAGCTCACAATAAAGGAACTATGTTCCAAATAAATACTCATCAACAAGCTAAGATATGATCATCAAAGAATGAACAAAAACCCACAAACAAAGAAGGAACCTAACTGAAATACTCTCTAAAATTTCAAAGAATTAAACAATGAAAAACCAGGTTTGAAGATGCAAGGAAGAAGAAGATGGCTTTAAATAATCCTTGCTTGACCAATCTTTTTAAGACAAGTGGCAAACAATCTCTTTCATCTTTTGTTGGGATCACAAACAAAAGCTCACCAATTTTGTAAGACCATAAGAAGAGAGGCAAACAAATAATAAAGAGAAAACTCACATAAAAACCATGAAAGAGATAAAACTTGATGGCCAAGATAATATAAGAAAGACGTAACATGTGCAAAAAAAATCATAGTACAAACAAATACAATATCAAAGGTTGGCTTTACATATGAGCAAGAATGATAAAGGTCAATTTCGTGCTCCCCAATTCTTGCCAAGTTAGCAAACAAGGGTTAACATATGTTGGTCTAAAAATAAAAAATATTTCATCTATCTTTTAGGACCACAACCAAACTTTTGGGACCATAATCAAAAAGGAAAAAAGTCTGATTTTCCCTGGACCACTAAAGGGTATTGAGACACTTGTAAGTGGTCCAAATGATAGCACAAAAGATGCAATAAAAATATCTTAGCTGTTAAGTAAAAAACACAATTTTTGTAAAGTGAGTCAGACATGTGATGTTAGCACAGAAGAAGAGTGTGCGCACACACGAAGTAAAATACAAGATGAAATGCAACATGCATATGCCTGACTTCAGTGTGCACACACACAACAATTGTGCACACATATAATGTAAGTTTGACAAAAATATTCAATAATTTTTATCATAAATGTTTTTGTTATAAAAGAGAAGACATGGTCGCCGTTTTTGTACAATAATCTAGAGTTGATTCTGGGAAGGTTTTTTTTGTTTTTAATTATTCTATGTAAAATAGGACGAAAGTAGGGAAGCGTTACATATATAAATTCGATATTTGTTGAGTTGATTTATTGTATAAATGCATTTATTCTTTTTGTATTACATCATTTTGTATGAAAAAGTTTATACATATAATATTATTCAAGAAATTGTTTCTAAAAGTAAAAACTCTGTTGTATTAAAGATGGCTTAAATAATTTATTTATTTATTTTATTAATTTGTTAATTTTCAATCTCTTTTTTTGAGTCGTTTGTTGGAAAATTAAATGCAACAACCCCAGAAATTCGACAGTAGAACAAACTGAAATAAAATATATCTAATTACCCAGAGATTAGTACTTGAATAAAAAGTTCTTCAAAAAAAAAACTACTATTAACCTGGCAAATTCTCATATTCCAAGTAATCAATCCAAGAATTCTCCAAAAGAAGCTCCATTGATATACTCCAAATCCAAAAATCTCATAACAAAAAACTCACTCTGCAAAAATGTTAGAGACGACACTCAACAAATAAATCCACACATACCACACATTAGTACAAATAATTTAGAATAATCAGTAAATATTTTAGAATCTTTATTATAAGAACATTAGATACAAATTAATTATACATTACAAATAAATTAATATTTCATGAGTATTTAAAAATTAAATAATCTTTTGCAAATTCATTTAAAGAATATTTCATTATAACAATTAAACACACAAATCATGTCACATGGTATCACCTAGGGATGAAATCGAGTCGAGTATCTGACTACTCGAGCTCAACTCAAATGCTACAGAATCTAGTTTGAACTCGAACTTGATACCTTAAAGGGATATTCAAACTCGGTTAATCGAGCTTTCGAGCTTAATGATCAATGGTCATCACTTTTGTCTAATAAGCCATGTACTTGTGTATAATATCTATACATGAAGTTGTGCAAATGTTATAATGGCAACTCCATGGAAATTGCTTGTAATGTTTCAAAGGATTTTTGATTGAGCGTTTTGTTTTTCACGAAAAAGTACTATAAATCTATTCTAAACATTTTTATAACTCTTGTAAAAATTTTTTTATAATTATTTCTGAAAAATAGTATTTATCAAATTAGAAAATATTTATGCTTATAATTGTTAATTTAATCTCTAATCTCTTTAGATTGTTGTTATATTCATCCATCTTCTACATAATTTTTTCAATTATAAAATTTTTATTAATCTTTTGTTTTTTAGAAACCATATTGTGGGTAAAATAAGGAAAGGCCCAGGCCCACTAAAACTTGGGAATATTAGATGGTATGGTCGTAAATTAAAGACATATTGTGGGTAATATAAAGATAAAAAACCCTAAACCTAAAACTAAACTCAACGGCCTCTATAACTTCATCAGTAGCGGCACTGGTTCATCTCTCACCTACAAATACCTTTCAGGTATGAGGTACCTAATGGGTTTTGTTTCGCAGAGTCTTAATTTTTTATTTTCCTTATTTTTTTTTTCGCTCATCAATGATGATGAGAACATAATGATATAATGATGAAGGAGGAAGGTTTCTCGGTGATGAACAAAAATGATGACGAGTCCGATTTTTTCCATACTCTAAATCGTGACGACAAATCCAGGCATTTGTCTGAGAGAACTTCATGCCCTCATCATTATTTTCCCTCTTAAAAGTTTTTTTAATTTTTATTTTTTACGAAACATAAATAAATCTATTAATTTGGGTGTTCATAATTTGTTTGGGCATGATGATGATTTGTTTACTGTGTTATTTTTATATGCTGAAACAATTACCTCCTACTCATTCAGAATGCCTGCTAAATTGTTACACTTTTAGCCAAAAAATTAGTTTTGCTTAATCTAAAATTTAACCTTGTTGTATTAACATTGTGAACTATCGTACTGGTTGATAGTGAATGGTGCATCCGAAGATTACACTTAAATAAACAAAATTGTGATTGAACAGAACTTTTATTGAAAGAAAATTTTGAGATGATTGATATAATAAGCAAGTCTGCATCTTCCAACTAATTAATAATACAATCGATAATGAATACTGGCAAATTTGCAGAGTAGATAGACAGGGAGGTTTTAGTTTTAGGGTTTTTTTTTTTCAATTTTCAAAATTCCCAAATCGATTTTTATATATTTTGAATATGGGTGGATTTTTCAATTTTAAAACTAAAAAATTACTGTTGCGCCCTATTACTTTCAAAAGCATCACATATACCCTTGAGCTCTCTTAAGCTCGCGAGCTTGTCGAGCCGAGTAGTAACATGTTCAAACTTGGCTCGACACTATAGTTGAGCCGATCGAGCTTGAGTTATTTTCGAGCTAAGCCTGAGTTGCTCGCAAGCTGCTCGACTTGAATTTCACTCCTAGTACCACCTATATTCCTGGTGACTTGGCTAGAACAGTGGACTGATCAATCGGTCAATTCATTAAGAATAATACTACACTAATAACACTCTCTCATAAACTTTTTCTCATAACCTTGATGTGGTAGTTCGCAATTGGTCAGTTCACAATAGGTCTCACATGGGTTCCACTAATTAATTGTGAGCTGTCATATCAGAATTGTGAGAGAAAGTTTGTGAGAAAAAATTGTTGGTGTAGTATTACTCATTCATAAAAGTAATTCATTTGAACATGATAGTAACGGTAACAGTAATTAAGCTAACAGTAACTGTACATAACTATGGACAATTAATGAGCCAAAAACCATTAAAAAAACATTTAATTTATGAACAAAACAGTAACACAAATAATTTTATATTATTTAGGTAACTTCAGTAATATAATGTTGAAAATAACTCTTGAGTGAAATAACATTTACCTTCAATACAGAAATACATATTGTGAGTTTCAGTCCAATACAAGTTAAACAATTAATTTAAATTAGAGGATATTACATTAATTTTGGTGATTCAAGATGAATGGGAGATTAAAGGCTATTTTGAAATTGTATTTGTTATTTTAATAATGATATAAGAGTAAATTCACATTTTGATGTTCAAACTCTGTTGAACCCCAGTTTGAATGAATGGATTGGAGACTAATAACTTTGATGGTTTTTCAAACCAAGGGTATGATATTGTAGTTTAGAGAAACCTTCGGTGGGAATGTTAATTTGACCTACTTCACAATTAAAAATTGTTGTTTTTCCCCTTTGATTGCCATGGACTACCCAACTACTATTTATATCGTGTGGTGCACACACACAATCTTTTAAATTATTCTTCTACTTCGAAATTCGAATGTTCGCTTCATTTGTTACAAAGCGTAGATTATATTCTTATATAAAATTGGACCACTAACATATCATCATTTGATTTGTCATTTTATATGCTTTTTGATAGCTAAGTATCTTTCCCCGCAGACTGAACTCATATTCTTTCAGTTTCTCTTAGACTTACTTGAAACCAAATTAAATTATATATAAAAAAGGTGGTTTATATATCCCGGCCAGTTTGCTTCACAGTCAAGAGTAGACCTGGCAAAATAGGTCTAGACCTGTGGGTCGATCCTAAATCCGGGTAAAAATATAGGGTGTGTGTCTTTAATATTGGACCCGTTTTTCTTTGACCCGTATCCGGCTTGACCCGTTTTGGCAACCGGTTAAGCGGGTACACCCGCGTGTACTCGTTTGTTTTTTTTTTTTAAAAAAACCTGTCCCCTTTTCATTTTGCCTCAAATCGCAAAATCCCTAAGCTAACTCAAACTTACTCTCTCATCAGCCTTCTCTCAAACTCATCATCATCAAAATCCCTAACTCCAATGTCGCCGCTTCTCCTGTCTCCGCTTCTCATCAGCCACGTTTGTAGTCTCCACTGTCAGCGCAGCAAGGTATGTGTATCACCGTCGTCGATTTGATCTCATTTGCTTCGTCTTCACTCTTCAACGGCCCCAATTCTTGGAGTCGATTCTCCAGCATCTTCAACTTCTCCTCGGCTACAATCTAGTAATATTGAAGGTTGCTCTTCTTGCTTTATTCTTATTGTTCTGCAGATAACATATGTCAATCATGTGTATTCCTTTGGAAACCACTGTAACATGAATCAAACTAAATCTAGAAGTTTTTGTAATTTGTCTTGTCTCCATTTACTGTATTTAGTAGATACTTTCTAGCTTGTGCTGCTGTTGCTTTTCTTGTGTAATTTTTTTCTTTTTTTTAGATTTTTTTATGTGGGTTTATTTGGTTGATGAGGAATGAGAGGACAATCGGTAAAGTTTTTTACCTTTTTCTTTGTTAGGTTCTGGGTTTCTGTTTGGTTGGTGAGAAAACTTGGGAGAAAATAATGTCAGGGGCTTTTTTTTTTTTTAATTGGGCTTGTTTGTGTGTATGGTTTTGATTCATGATTGGCAGCTTAGAAAACTAGGGAAAAGGATTCTAAATTGTGGGGAAAAAGAAAAGAGATCATATTGATTTATCTAAATCTTGTGTTAGCCGAGTTCATCAAAATTAATTATTTAAAATTTCAGTTATTTTCTTTTATGTTAAAGGATTCAATTTACATCTAAAATTGGGGATTAGAGATTTTTATTTGGTTTAATCCAATTCCCGTTGATAATTTGAATGATTATAGAAATCTGGATGTGTTTTTTCTGAACTAAAACTATATTGGGTATAAGAGTATTTTTGTTTGGATTTGAGAAAGACAAATTTTGCTCAAGAATCAAGATTTTAGGAAGATTTGGGGGTGTAACTGCAAAAATCTAAAATTAGAATGAACAGTATGGGCACCCACAGGTCCATCCGTACCTGCATAAGGTAGGGTGCAGGTCCAAAATATTGGACCCGTTTAAATCGACCTATTTTGGGCCCGTACATGTGAGACCCGTAAGTGTTTAGATCCAACCCGCAGCCCGATCGCCGGTTTTGCCATGTCTAGTCAAGAGTACTGCCCTTTTATCAGTATTACTTTTCCAGAAATGTGACTGGGGAAGCAGTGAAAAGTAAAAACAAAGTCTTTTCTTTTAAAAGTGTCCAAATCTTTAATAAGTAATATTACACTTAAAAAGAAATTTTACAAAGATCTCCATACAAAGTGATGTGGCAAAAAATGAATGGAAGAGTGAATTTAATGAGTTTAACTTTTTGTTTCACTCTTCTATTTATTTTTTGACACATCACTTTGTTTGAGAATCTTTGTAAGATTTCTTTATAAGTATAGTATTATTGATCTTTAATGCTAAAATAATATTTGCTGCAATATTCGTACTTGTTTATTTTCTTGGAAGTTCCCGCCTGTTGACAACTCAAAAAGGAATAAAAATGTAAAAGTGTCAAGTAATAGGAGCAGAGTAAAATTAGACAAAATGATGTCGTTTTGCTTATAAGAAAAAACTGTTAAATAGTTTGTTACAATTAGCTGTTAAAAGAAAGGTGTATAAAACGGAGAATTGTTCCCGCTCTGTAATTAGTTACTCTCAATCAATACCCGAAGCAATTTTCATCGAATTCCTCTTTCTTGATTTCTCTTAGTTTTTAATACAAATTCACACCTCCCCAAAATTACACTTCATAAATCGGCGCCTCTTAAATATTAATGTTAGAAGCTTCAATGGTTTATGTGCTTCATTACCATGCAATATTTAAGCGGCATCATATCATATTATAAACGCTCAGAATTAAAGAAGAAGGGTTACAGAAAATATCTTATATGGAAGCACACTTACATTACAATTAGAGCAAAACAAACCAGATAACACTTTATTTTAATGCGGAGGAAAATAAAAACACACGAAACCAATATTGTAGCCTGCAATCTTATTAAAGAAAGCAAATCATCCTTCTCTTGTTTAAAAGATTGGCTTGCGAACGAGAACGACTGAGTTGATCACATCATTTGTTGGATGGAATATGGAGAGAACTTCGAACTCCATCAATTCATTCTCCTCAACAACTGGGTACAAAAATGCTCTTGCTCCATTTGCACTTCTCACCAGCAAAACTCCTCCATCCTTCATGTACTTCCTAATATGTCCAAGAATCATCACTTTCTCTTCTTTACTCATTCCAACAAGAGCTGCCAAGAATATGCAATCATATTCTCCTAGCTTCTCCTTCAGTTCCATTATGTCACAAGTATGAAATTTCATCCTCTTTTCAAACTCGGCATCAGAAGAAACAATTTTCCGAGCCACATGATTGGCCGCCTCATCGATATCAAAGTTATCAAAGTGTGTGGATTTCATGTGATGTGAAGCCATTATAAGAGATGTTAGAGGCATTGGACCCGAACCCACAAAGGCTACCTTCTTTGGTTGCACCACTCAATTCTGAGAGAGGATTGTAAATTCTAGATATGCTAGCTTCACATAATTTCCATAATAAGGAAAGAGATTGAGATTGTTTAGAGGTTGGGGGAGTTTGATTATGAATGATGCAAACTCAAGATCCAATAAACCTTCAGCTCGGCCACATAGAAGTATGAGACTTTGGAACATTTTTTGAAATTCTGGAGAAAAGACTTTAACGTCTATGGATGAATTGAGGGTACATAGTTTCACAAGTTGAGTGAAGAGGCTATTGACTTGCTTTGAAGGCTTCAGAGACTCGAGTTTCGAAATGCTGGCATGGATTTGCATAATGCGGGCTGTAAGGAGCTCAGCCGGAATTTGGCTTTCAGAGTTGGGGTTTTGGTGGGAAGCCATTATGCTGTGTCTGAGATTGGAGAGTGAGTTAATTACTTGAGTTTTGTGTTTGTCTTGTGGAAAGCCCCGGCCACATACAACTATTTATATAGGATAAAATCTTGAAAGTTCCTGATATTTTAACTCTGATTAAAGCATGACGATGATGTTAAA